GCTCACAGCAACCTCAAATTCCTGGGCTCAAGCGATCCTCCTGCCTCAGCCTCCCAGGTAGCTGGGACTACAGGCACACGCCACCATTCCCTGCTAAGTTTTTCTATTTTTAGTTGTTTGGCCAATTTCTTTCTATTTTTAGTAGAGACGGGGTCTCGCTCTTGGTCAGGCTGGTCTCAAACTCGTGAGCTCAAACGATCCGCCCGCCTTGGCCTCCCAGAGTGCTAGGATTACAGGCGTGAGCCACCACGCCTGGCCTGTTCTTTCTTTTGGTTCTGTACTCCCGTCTGGGGTCATTTTCCTTTAGGCTGAAGTACTTCCTGTAGTATTTTTTGTAGCACAGGTCTGCTGGCATCAAATTCTCTCAGCTTTTGTCTGTCTGAAAATGCTTTATTTTGCCTTCATTGTTGAGAATATTTTCACTGAGTAAGGAATTCTGGGTTGGCAAAATTTTTTTTTTTTTTTTTTTTTTTGCACTTTAGAGATTCAATCTCTTGTCTTCTGGCTTCCAAAGTTCCTGCTAAAAAGTCAGCCATTGGTTTTATTGTGGTTCCTCCAAAGGTTACGTGCTACTTCTGTCTGTCTTGGGACTTTCTATGGTTTACGGCAGTGTGATTATGATATTCTTAGGTGTGATTTGTTTTTATTTCACGTAGACTTTGCTGAGTCTCATGGATTTGTGGGTTGATGTCTTTGCTCAGCTTTGGAAAGGTCTCATTAAATTACTTCATGAAATATTGATTGCACCCATTCTCTTTCCTTCTGGGACTCCAATTACACATATATTTAGATTGTGTCCCACATGTCTCAAATGCTGTTTTTATTTTTGTATTCTTTTTGCTTGTTTGGATAGTTTCTATTGCCCTATCTTCAAGTACTAATCCTGTTGTCTGCTGTGTTCATTCTGCTGTTAAATTCATCCAATGAGCTCTTAATATCAGATGTGTTTTTTAGTTCCCTAAGAAAGTTTTACTGTGGTATAATTCACAAACCATAGAATTCACCCATTTTAGGTGAACAAAATTAATTGACTTTTAGTAAATTTAGAGTTGAGCATGAATCAGAACATTTTTTTCCTTTTTAAGAATTTATTTTGGATAACATTCAAATTGAATTTTAACTCAAGAAAGGAAACCTACATCACTACTTTTGCCAATCAACCTGTCAACACATTGATTATTCAAAACTGTAGCAAGACAAATTGCCCTCTTACAATTTTTAGTCAGAATTTATATACCATAAAGCTGACATTTATAAAGTATACAATTCAGTGGTTTTTATTAATAGTATATTCACAGTTGTGCAACCATTCCCACTATCTAATTACAGAACATTTTCATCACCCCTAGAAGAAATCCCATACCCATTAGCAGTCGCTCCCCTTCTTCCCAGCCCCTAATTAGTGGCAACCACTAATCTGTTTCTATAGATTTGCCTATTCTGGACACTTATAAGTGGAATCATACAATATGTGACTTTCTGTATCTGGCTTCTTTGAGCAGGTAACTTTGTTCCTTTTTATGGCTCAATAGTATTCCATTGCATGGATATACCACATTTTGTTTATCCAGTCATCAGATGAATATCTGATGGGTAGTTTCCAGTTTGGGGCCATTATGAATAATGCTGCTATGAACATCTGTGTACAAGACATGTAGCCATGTTTTTAATTCCCCTACGTATAAACCTAGAATTAGAATTCCTGGGTCATACGGTAGCTCTACATTTTAACTTTTTGAGCTGTATGCCTTTTAGGGGAACTGTCAAACTGTCTTCCAAAGTAGCTGCACCATTTTATATCGTCACCAGCTATGTGTGACGGTCCCAATTTTCTCCACATCCTTTGCTAACACTTGTTACTGTCCACCTTGATTATAGCCATCCTAGTGGAAGCTCTATCTCATTGTAGTTTTGGTTTGCACTTCCCCAATGATTAAAGATGTTAAACTTTTTGTGTTCATTGACCGTTTATCTTCTTTGGAGAAATGCCAATTCAAATTCTTTGCTAACTGTTTAATTGGGTTGCCTTTTTGAGTTGCAAGAATTCTTCATGTATTCTAGACATTACACCCTATTTATAATCTACTTTTAGAACAATCCCATCACTCCATAAAGATCCTTCTTGCCTATTTGTAGTCAATTCCCACCCCCAGGGAACCTAGTGTCAGGCAACCACTAACATGCTTTCTGTTTGGGCAGGTCCCTCCCTCTAATGAAAATTTGTCTCCTGAGTATTGTGAGCTTACGGGAGATTTTGCCCTGCTTTTAGAAGCCCTAGGCTTAGCTTCCAGTATGCCATGCACTGCTCTACTAGTTCAGCACAAGTCCTGTGAGAAAATCAGTCATGTATTTGAGGTGTTTCGGTTTCCATTGTACTCTATAACCAAGAGCCTTGTGATTTTCTTTTCTCCAGCAGAGGCCCCAGTGCATGAGCCACACTCAATCCTTGGTTCTGGGCCCAGAATCAGCAAATGCCCTCAGGAGACCATCAGTTTACCTCAGAAAGGGTTTGTCCCTCTGAAATTCCAATTCCTTATTGCCTAGCATACATTCTGGTGTTTAAAATATTATCCTGGTGTTTTAATGTAGTTTTTTCTGCTTGTTCCAGCAGGAATATTGTTGCTGTGACCTATATCCTATTCATCAATTGCTGTAAGTTTTTACTGAGTCTTGAGATCTTGTAAGACAAGTTCCCTTTCTTCCCCCCACCTTCAGATATGCGTTGGCTAAAAAAAATAAGAATAATTTTATATATATATATATATATATATATATATATATAGGCTATTCGGGGGCATAACTCTTCCATATGAATTTTTGAAATCCATTTATTTGACAAAGATTTGAAATTTTCATTCTTTTGACATCTCCATCCATGAACATGGTATACCTATCATCCAATGAGCAGATTTTTATATTAGGTCTTTCAATAATGTCTTGTGCTTTCCTCCATAAAGGAACTGCACATTCTTTCTTAGATCTGACCCTAAATAGCTTAGGATCTTTTGTTTTTAAAGCAATTTTTGTTTTTCAGAATAGGTAATAGATTCATCAATTTGTAAAAGCTCATAAAAGGATACATTGATAATTTCCCACCCGTTTTCCTCAGTCATCCAGTTTTCCTCCAGAATACCAATGTTACCAATTTCTCTATTAACTTTTAACGTAGTTAATATTAGTATTTAGTAACTATTAATAATTTTTGTTCCTCAATCTTGTATCTAGAAATCCAGCTGAATTCTATTAATGTGTAGGTTATTTTGGATTTTATACAAGCATCATCATCTGCAAAGAGTATCATTTTGTCACTTCTTTTTCATTTCTCATTCCTTTTACTGGTCTTACTGAATTGGCCAGGATGTCTCTAAAGTAGTTGCGGAAAGTAGCTGGATAGAACCTGTGACAGAGGGCAATCCTGACTTTAATGTTTCTTACATGTATATGACATTTGCTATAGCTTCTTGGTAGAAATATTTACCAGGTTTTAAAAAAAAGTTACCTCTGGTCCAATTTTGCTAAGAATGACTATCATGAACGTTTTTGTCAAATTATTTTCTGCACCTATTGAGATTATCATATGGTTTTTCTCCTTTAAACCTACTAAATGTGCTAAATCACCCATAGGAAAAAAGTAGTCTCAAATAAAACACTTTTACCCAAAGTTGTTATTTATTTTCATGAGGGGGGGGAAAAAAGAACCTTTTATGATAGTGAAAATATACTTTATTTTTTTAATACAATAGCTGCCAGCAATATACTGGTGTTGATGTTCCAGAGAGAAAAGAAAATACAAGCATTCTACAATAAGCTTTCATTTGCTTGCTGAAGAAATTCTAAAGAAAATACTCCAATTCTGTTCAACATTATGGCTTGAGGGATTGAAATTTTTTTCCATGATAAAAATTTTAGTGGCCTGAACCTTGATCATTTATAAAGGATGGAGTAAAGAAAAGTCCATATATCAATAATGAATGCTTCCCTATGAATTACAATACTGGTTATAACCAGTGTAAGAAATTGGTGAATCAATAAACTTGATAAAATGTGTATCAAAATGTTCATGAAAAAATACATTTCTATTTTCTCTCATTTTTACTTTGTAGTATTTTCTAAATGGGTTTTTTAAGTGCACAGAAATAAAAAGCTATCTACATACAACTCTGGAAAGATTCAAAACCCAACAGAAGTTAAAATGCCTATATTCTAGAGTTGATCCACTTAGTGTAAGCATAAATGTCAGAAATCTCTTTATTTTATATAGATTGCTCAAGGGTTTAAAAATAAATTGTGAAAGCCAAGGTTACCAAGAAATCTTATTTGAATTTCTTCACAAAAGTTAACAATCCTACTAAAAAAAGATAACAGAACTGTATAGAAAATCTGCATCCATATCAGAAAAGGGAATTTGTATCAACTGGAATAGAAGAGAGCTTTCCAACTGTTGAATACAAAAATTTCTCAGAATCCCTTGGAAAACAGTGAGACCTTCCATTCAGACTCAAACCTCCTTATTGAAGTAATAAAACATAAAGGGTGTTTAAATGAAGGGGAATGATTTGTTAGTTGCAGAAATAAAATCAGATGTTTTCATTATGTTAATCCATACACTACATGACTTGCCTGCCATGAAAACATTTATGTCCCAAATCTTTCAATATTTTAAGCTATAATCTTTCCACATACAAACAATAAGGTAAAAGAATGTTGTAGGATCATCCTTTCTACTAGCTTTTGTCCACCTGCTAATCTCAATTTCATATGACTAACTTCTCTGATAAAGTAATAATAAAATGTCTTTATACAGAGAAAAATAATTCTGCCTTTGTCAAAGTCATAATATATCTGCCTTTCTTGGACATCCAGAGAGAACCAGGTGTAATCATTGGATGCATAAAAAACAATGAAGAGAATAAATATCCAAAGTGAAAATACTTTGCGTTTCAGAATCGGTTTTTCATCACTCTATTTTGAGGAACGGAGCTCTTTCCTCTGTTAGCCCTCTACTCTGCACCACTTAGTCCGCCGTTCACTAGAAAGAACAGAAATCCCCTTCTCTCGAATCTTTTTCATACCTTAAGGCAAGGTTCAATATCACCTGAATGCCAAGCTGCCACTATTTAAAATGTAAATGAATAGTGATGATACCTGCCTATGTACTGATACAGATGGGACACTCACCCAATGAAGCTACTGCAATATAATTTCTCAATAAATAACTGGATAGTGCTTCTTCCTAGAACCAGATAAATCATTGTCTAATATTTAACTAATAAAAAGATAGGTACTCAAACTTTTGATCAGCAACAGGAGTTGTAAGAAAAGTAAGGCAAAGGAATTTCCCTGAGCCAAATGGATACAATATGGAGCTTTTCTTATCTTTCTATACTAAGTTAATTTACTGATAGGTTAAAAAGGCAGTATGCTTACAAAAATCAGGCTGCTTCCACAAAGCCAGTGCTTACTAAATATTAGCATATCAAAGGGGGAAAAACACTGCCATTTTAAAGCAATATACTTAAAATTCAAAAAATAGTTCATGAGAAATAGCACTTTCTACACAAGTTAGGTATAAAAAAATTACAAAAACTGTATTATAGTCACAAGCACAGTCTTCAGATTTGTACTCAGAAAGTCCATTTTGCTCTTTTTAAGAATAAATGCATAGCAAATTTTTATTTTCACCAACTTCATCTTCTCTTGTTAGAGCACAAACAATTCTTGTTTAGGACTTTGATTTAAAAAGAAAAAAACAAAACAAAACAAAAACACATGCAGAGTCCTATTCCTCAACATGGCTGTAGAAAAATTTAACTCAAGGAAGTATAATGATTGAGATCAGGCAAAACTGCAGCAAATACTCACTCACCATAACAATTATAATTTAGTCCAACAGGAGTGAACAATCCTCTACGCACGGTAAATGGGGTGAAATAAGAAAATTGGTAGTCTGTGTTTTATTTCGTTTTAATATAGGAAGGATAATGCATTCTTTAGATCACCTACATTAAATATGCTTTAGAAACAAAAATTTACTTCATATTTTGACAAACCTTCCCTTCATTCCTTAGGTTAATTTGTGTTAATTTTTACATTACTAGTCATTGTACTACTATAGCTAAATCAACTAAGTATAAGTTTATGTAGTGTTGCTCAAAAGATCTACAAGTAGCAAGCTCTATGCTTACCTAAAAAGGAGCTTTTTAAAATAAAGGAAGAAAGCAATAATGTTCCAAATGAATGGCACTGGGCAAAATATATATAACAAACACATTAAGACAGAGTCTCAGATGCCCATCAGATTCTAAGTATAAAATGCTTGCAGAAGATCTTGAAAAAACCATCTCTTCCTCTAAACTTTTAGCTTCTACATAGTATCGGATGTTTCAATTGGTATGAAGGATAAATGCTTTTAGGCAAAAGTAAAAATGTATCTACAAAGCAAAATAGCAAAATCTGTAGTGATCTCTGTAGAAGGCTCTCTTCTCTGGTGGTAATATTCTTTAGTACATATCCAGGACAGACTAAATTGAAACAGAATATTTCTGATACAGTAGCAATCCTTTTATATACTCTTACTAAATATTACAAAATTTCAAAAAATACATAAATATTCCTTGTACCATGCATTACGCACCAGTTTGGGGCTGCCCGATGAAGTCATGGCTACTATTTTAACATTACACATTGCACCTCCAAAGTTCTGCCATCTCTACACAGTGAATGGACACAATGGTTAGGACTCCAGAGAGATGGCAAACTACCTCTAAAGTGAAAAGATTGTGATGGAGTGTCTCCAAATTAGAGGATAGGAGGATATGGGTAGGGGGAGGTAGGCAGGGTAAAATGATTTCAAAATAATACTGCTTAGGAGTGTATATTTTAAGATAACTACTATACCTTGTCTATCCTTGATCCTAATCTTGAATAACTGCATGTTCATGCAAAATATAATTTCTACTCTAGGAAGAGAAGCAGTCTGTTAGGAAAAGCATATTCTTAGGGGAAGACATGAAGATATCTCTGTCATAAGTGCTATTTTACTTGGTGAGTCTTTTGGCTACATCACTATATGCTATTTCAACCTCCTTATCACTGGGACAGGTATTGGTGAACTCATCCCTACTATATGCATTAGTTAAGTATCTCCAGATGCCAGTCATTCCTTTTGGAATATCAAAGTTGCGGTATTTTTTGGCCACCACCTGAAATACAAAGAGATCAAAAGTTAACAGATTTATTTTCCATGTCTTATAAATGAGACATATCTCTGATTTTAGAGCCAATTATTAATGCCATAAATCTTTGAGAACTGCTTCTATTTGAAAAGAAATCTGTCGCTATTATTCTAACTGGAGTTTTAAATAACGACCAAGACTGCAAGCTACCCCAGAGATCCCCAAGTGTAACAGTGACTGCAAATGCCTGCCTAGGACATCCAGAAAGACAGCCAGGTGTAATCATCAGATAAATACTTTAACACACATGCACACACACAATGTTAGATCACTGTTTTCCTTATCTTAGATCTTTGCTGCACAATAGTGCTTATTACTATTCTATATACTTAGCAATGTGCCTACCCAGTGTCTCACATAATAAATGATCAATATTTTTTGCCTTGAATAGAAAAGGCCAGGTGATCACAGAACAGAATTTGACAACATAAATCATTATAGTAAACGCCAATCCAAAGTCATCTATTATATCTTTGAAAGATATTTTTATGCAGTCACAAAAAAAAAAAATTCCCTTTCTCATATGTCTCGATTTTAAGACATAATGTTCCATTTAATTCACTCTACAGTGTTTCAAATACTGCCTAACCCACATTAAGTTATACTATTTAGGGGGCTGCTAGTCATATGAGATCAGAAATGTTTTAATAAGCACAAAGGAAGTGCTACCTGGTTAAATACAATACCAGGTAATAGCAATGTCACACCACATCCACAGGCCTACCTTGACAATATGCAGTTTGGGCAGCAGGTTGCAATCAGCTAATGTCATTTCATTGCCATCCAGAAATTTACGTGTAGAAAACTTAATGTCCTCCATACTATTTTCATCAATTTCATCAGGGAGTGGAGAATTCAGATATTCATCCAGTTTCTGCAGTGTTTTCAAGAGACCCCTCTCCAGGGCTGAAAAATAGATGGCAACACTGTAAGCCCCAAACCCCAAAGTACAAGCATTACTCTTTCAGTCAATAATTGTTTATCAAATGCTTACTCTGACACTAGGTACTGTAGGTGTAGAATAAGACAGACAGGGTTCCTGCTCTCCTAGGACCTTGTTTACATGGTAGGGGGATGAGACAAATTTGTTCAAGTAAATATATAAATAAGCATGATAGTTTCAGACAATGATATTTTAAAAACTTGTTAATAACTAAATGCCTCACACATGAACACAGCTAGTCCAACACAGTCGACATTTAAACTGGGAAAAATGGGTGGGAAAAGGCAAACATTAATTCAAATCAAGGGAAGAAAATTTTGCAGAGACAGAGATTCCTGCCCTCAAATTTAATTCCTGTTCCCCCAGGAATATTTGGATTTATCACCAAGAAATACGTTAAGAAACTCCAGTACAAACGATCCAAGGAGAAAGCCTGGGATTTTTGCACTGTCTTACAGAAGAAGCCAAGAATGGCACTATCTTATACAAAAAGCACAGAGGTTAGATTAGACAGTTCAATTTACAATACTGAAGTGGGAGCCTCTTTAGCCAAACAGATTAAGATGCTATGATTACTATGATTCAGAGAGAAGTGGGACAGAGCCACCCCTATACATTTGGCAGGCGAGAATTCTACCACTGAACCATCCATGCCCCACCAGTGTACATTTGGAAAGTTGAGGTTAGTGACCCTTAGCAGAAAGGAATGGGCATGCCATTAGAAAAGAATATGGATTAACAACGAATGAATCTTCTATTACCCCTTCTTACCCTTTACTTCCCAATCCACCTTCCCCTCTCAAGCTCAGAATAGATGAACTCACACTGATGATTACAGTAAATTGCCATAAAAGAAAGTTAAATATCATGAGGTGACAATCCACGTAGCTGTAAGTTTGAATAAAGTTGAGTCCTTAAAGGAAAAAGGTAAAGTTTTACATGCTGCATATTAGATATTTCACCAGCAACATAAATATGTCCTAACCCAATACCTCTTCTTCCAAATTGCTGCCACCCACTCATCCCTTGGTCCCTTCATGGTAGTCCAGGCAATAGGTGGTAGGTAGCCTTACTTAGGTAAGGGGCTGTAGGCACAAAAAGGAATGAAGAGATTTTAGGAGATAAACCAACAGAGCTCAGAGACCAAAGTGAATATAGAAAAAGGGGAATAGATGTATTCAACACAACTTGAGTCCCTACTATGTGCCAAGTCTTGTTTTAAGTATTGTTAAATTTCTCAGTTGAATAAAACATAAAATGTTCCTATTACCAGAGAGTTTAGATCTTGGGGAGCGGGGGTAGTGCAGAAAAGCTGTTCAACAAACTGACAACGCCCAGGGTGAATGCTGGTGCCGTTTACTGAAATATTTACCTTCCTAGAGGTGAAGCAGATTTAGAGGATGTGGAGATGAGTTCAGTTAATATGCTGAGTTTGAGGTGCCTGTAAAGACATGTGAGATGTCCAATAGACAAGGTTTGAGTGTCAGATTGACCTGGAGGAATATTTGGAAGTCCTGAGAACATAAATGAATAATGAAATAGTGGAGTAGAGGAGAGACAGAGGGCCTAGGGAAAGTCCTAAGGAACATCATTTAAAGGACAGGTAGGAAGAAGAATCTGGGAAGAAGATTAAAACGGAAGAAATACACTCTTACAGAATCTCAGAATTCAAGGTTTGGAAATATCTTCAAATCTCAGCTCAATCTTTCCTATGAGGCAGTCTCCCACAAAGTGCCATATCACTGGATTACTCTATTATGCAAAAGTACAACTGCTTTTTACAATGGCCCCATATCCAGTAACCTTGCTAATTCACTTTCTTCTTACTGTTTATTTGTAGATTCTTTTGCATTTTCTACATACACAATTACATTGTTTCAGAATAATGATATATTTATTCCTTCCTTTACAATTCTCACGCCTTTCTTTTTCTTGCCTTATCATGCTGGCTAAGACTACCAGTAAATGCTAAGTAGAAGTGGCGACAGTGAGCATCCTTTTCTAGTTCCCAATCTTGAGGTGAAATCTCTCACTGTTTTCTCATTAAGTATGATGATTACTATAGTTCTTTGCAGAATTTCATTATCAGATTAAGGAAGTTCCCCACTATGCCTAGTTTGCTAAGACTCTTTTAAAAAACAATGAATATCATGTTGACTACGCATAAGTAATAAATTTTATCAAATGCTTTCTTCTGCTTCTATCGAAATGGTCATATAATTTTTCTCCTTTATTGATCTGACAATTTATACAGATTTTTGAATGTTTAAACAATCTTCCATTCCCGAGTGAAACTCAACTCAATTGTGTACATTATCTTTTTTCATTTTGCTGAATTTGGCATACTTTTTTTCAGACTTTTGCATCTGTGCTCAAGAGCGAGAATGGCCTGAAAATTTCCTTTCTTTTAATGTTCTTGTGTGCTTCTGGTATCAAGGCTGCCCTCAAAAAGCAAACTGGAAAGTATTCCCTCTCTTCTGTTCCCTGGAAAAGTATGTGCAAGTCTGACGTTACTTTTTCCCCAAATGCTTGGAAGAGTTCATCAACAAATCCCATCTGGATCTGGAGTTTTCCTTTTAATTTTAAGAAAACTTACATGATTTTTAATTACAGATATAAGACTATTCACATTTTCAATTCCTTCTTGTGACAATTTTATTCTACCAGTTTTTGTTCGAAAATGTCTAGTTTTTAAAATTCCTAAATAAAAATCATCACATTCTTACATTCTTTTTCAGCTAAAAACCTTGGTGAACATATATTAAGAGAACTAATTCTCACAACAACCACAGGGCATAGGAAGGGTAGACATTATCCTATCTTATAGATCCAGAAATAAGAGAGTAGAAAATTTGCCTTATTTTCAGCATCAAAGGAAAGAGATTTTGACATCTGGAATTTGACTTGTTATGACTTGGAATTATAAATTGAATGGTAAATCCATAGGAAAGGCTGACGGGTTTAGCAAGTCTATCAACCCAGGGCTGTAAATATAAATGTCACATCTTGAAGCAAAGATAAAATATTTGGATGTGTTTGCTTTCACTTAGTATTTCGCTACTTACAGAATTCTAATTTGCTTTCTTTCAGCTCACTGAAGATTTCATACCATTGTCCTCTGAATTCCACTGTTCCTTATTGAGAATCAGTGCTCAGTCTTATCACTATTCTCCTAAAGGGCTTTCTCTGACATTTTTAAGATTCTGTCTCTGGTTTTTAGTAATGTGACTATGATGTATATAGGTGTAGTTTTCTTTATATTAATATTTTTGCTGCTGGGTTTTATAATGCCGATTCCATGGCTTACCATCTTTCATCAATTTTGGAAAATTCTTGGCAATAATTCTTTACATGTAGCTTCTACTCAATTTTCTTCTCTCCTTCTGGGACTCCGGTTACACATGTTAGACAGCTTTTCCATTGTGCTCCATGTCTTACCACTCTTCTATATATTTTTTTTTTTGTCCTTTTGTCTCTTTGTGCTTCTATTAGATATTTCCTTCTGATCTATCTTCCAGTTCACTAATTCTTTCTTTAATTATTGTCCAAACTGTTAAATTTCTCTACTGAGTTCATAATTTCAGATACTATATTTTCAAATTCTAGAACTTCCATTTGATTCTTTTTTGTAATTTCTACTTCACTGAAATTCTCCATCTTGTTTTTTTATTTTTTGAGCATATTAAAGTTATTTTAAAGTCGGTGTCTGATAACTGAATACCTTCTAGTTTGTAATGCACTTTTAAAAATGTATTAGTTTTGTTTAGTCCATGATATGAGCTCTAATAGATGTTTTAAGTTATTAAATTTTTAAACTCAGGGCTGGTTTACATTTAACAAATCATATACATCTTCCCTTTAATTCTTGTTATTAAAGTAATTCATCATTCTTGCTTTCTTGACTACATGTTCTTTAAAAGTAGAGTTTGTGTCTTGTGCTTCTTCTATATCCTCTAAAATTCATAAAACTTTCTTAAGCACCTAATGGACTGGTGAACACCTGGCCAAGACTAAGAAAGGCTGATAATTATATATAAAAGTTTTGAGTTTCTTAAAATGTATGAAGAAGATTCAAAAAGAAATTAGGTGAAAATGAAGAATGAGGGGGCTTAGAGAACTGACTTACCTTCTTTCCTCCCCCACCTTCCTTCCTCCCCCACCTTCCTTCCTCCTTCCTTCTCTCCATTCTTCCTCTTGTGCCACCTCTGTCTCCTTTCTCTGCTTCCTGCAACTGTTCCTTCTTCCTTCTATAAATGCTTATTAAATGCCTGCTCTGTACAAAGCATTGTTCCAAGAGCTAAGAATGTAGTGGTGAACAGACAAAAATCCTTGCCTTTGGGGAGCTTATGCTCTAGTGGGGGTTAAATACACCATACATAAAAATCAGTGAGATAAAAGGTGAGATGTGCCAGACTGCTATTTCTTTCACCCAGCTCAAGATAAACTGAGTGGTTTTTAGCAGCTGCGTTATATGAGAGGTTGGTGAGAGGAGAGTCGAGCAAGTGGACAATCTTGCACCTCTAGAATCACATTTGGCAAAAATGATGCACACAATTGTGAGAGGTCCAGGAAACTGAGAACAAGCGAAAGAACTGCAGGTGCACAGGGCTCCTCTCTCTTACTCACTCTGAGACGGCTTCCCCATTACTTAAAAATAATTTATTATCTCTTGTTCTCTCTTAATATCTCTTATCCTAACTTGCTGTATCTTTCTTGCCAAGGGAATATTAGAAAAAAAAGAAAGGAAAGGAAAGGAAAAGGAAAAGGGAGAAGGAAAAAGGAAAAGGAAAGGAAAGAAGAGAAAAGGTAGAATGAATACATGAAAATGTAGAATGGATACCTTTAAAGTCAGATAAGTTTGGAAATTTGTACTTGATTGTTATCTCTTTTGTGGGAGCGGGAATGAGGTAGACACCATATATTGCTATAGAACACAACAGCCTTTTAACATGTAAAGAAGAAT